AGTTAGGGATAGCTTCCTATTGTTTATGGTTGGGATTGGAAGGAGGTGTTCAGGCTTGGACACCTCTTTCAGATGACTTTAGGGTTTAGTCAAAATAGATAGTAAGGATGTGACATAAGCAGATTGTTGTATCTTCTTATATTTCACTTTTATGATTATTAATTTTGGATTTACACTGTTAAGTTTTAATCCTCTTTTAGACTAAAAGGGGAATTGTAGGGGAACCTGTAGCCATGCCTGCTTAGGGGCTGGCTACAGGTCTGCCTGACCACTCCTGCAGGCGTGGTCAGGGTGATGTAGAGGTTAAGGTTCAGGGCTGAGTTTCACTTTCATTTCCCTTTCAGCTTTTGTACAGACTGCTGCCACACCAGCTGGCTAGGTCGCTCTGTAAGTAAGGCTTTTCCCTATTAAATACCCTTATATTTCTACTTGGCTCTGTATTGGTAATTTCCCACTATAGATATCTCTCAAGCCTACTCCAGTTTCAGCCTAGGCTAGAATTTCAGTTACATTACTCCACTTATGCACTAATGCTAATATCCTCTGCAAATATCTATCTCAATCTCAAAGAATCCTTGAGTAAACAATATTTTAATAATTCTAGGCTTGGTTTTTGGGGAAATGGCTGCCTAAAACTGCCGGTACTAAAGGGACTCCTTAAGTCAAGCTTGGCTTTTCATCCATTTATTCTGCCTCTTTCATATGAACCAAGATTTGTGTGTCATTAATACCTACAAACACAGATTAATACCTACAGAAATCTTCTGTGCTTTACTGCCTCTTTCTTAGTATATTGCAGCTTTGTGTTCCCAGGTAAGTTGAGTTCATCCTTAGTTTTGGTACCATGCTCCAGGATAACTATCTGAAACACACTATGCCAAGCATAGGCTGAGCATTAGCACCTATCCCTACAAAGATTTGCCAGAAATCTTATATACAATTATTGTTTATTAGGGTAAATGAATAATGATTTTAGAAGCTGAGAAGTCCCCCAAGAAACCAGATGGAATCTATGGATTCAAACCTTCAAATCAGGTAGGCAAATTGTGGAATTTTCAGTCCAAGGCCTAAAGTCTGAGCACCACAAGGAATGGCACTGATCCATGTTTTACAGTCCGAGAGTTTGAGATTCTGGGATTCTGATATCTAACAGTAAGAAAATTATCTCAGCTCTGGGTGAAAGAACTCAAACTCTCCTTCCTTCTGATTTTATCTTCTTTATAGATCCCAAGCTGGTTGAATGTTGCTTGTTCCCAGAGAGGGTCAAACATTTCCACTTAGTTCATTGCTCATAGGCCAGTTTCTTTCAGAAACACCTTACAGTCAATCCCTGAAGTAGCCCATTGTAGATATTCTGGGTATTTCTACATACCCAGTTACATTGGTAACTAAAATTAACTAATATCTTCAACCAGAGCATAAAGATTTGAAGGTGGCAAGTGAATGTCACAATTTTCATATGTTTTGTGTGATAATCTAAGCCACATTTCACATGGCTCCAGAGTTTCACTGGGATGGAACCCATTTTCACAATTAAACCCATCCATTGATTTAAGAGCATGTTATTGGCTTTCTTCTATCATTTGTACACATTTCTTATGTATGTGTCTGCTCAGTCAAAAAATGGGCACATCCTTGCCTTAACAGCATTCCAATGGAAACACATCTAACTCATGCTCTCTCCCAATCCATATGATTTCAGGCATCTGAGAATTGTGGTTTATGCAATAAACTGTTATAAATTATTATTTTTTCACATTTTTGTTAGTCATCTCTACCCATCTGTCTTCCTACCTATTACATGTTTTTCTAAATTCATGGTGAAAAACTGAATGACAATTTTAATATTTTAACTATTTCATATCCATGTAAGAGTTCTATGCCTAATCTATTTTATTATTATTATTATTATTATTATTATTATTTATTATTATTATTCACATGTTTCCTAAAGTCTAATCTCACTGAAACTTTAAATACATTTGCATGCCTTGCATGGGAGGAGGTAGTAAACATGTGATAATTTAGAAACACTCCAAAATATTAATACTTTAGTTACTTTCTCCATCTTAGTCTACCTGAGTCATAAGAGAATGTGGATCATATGTGCTCCCTTGTACCCTCAGTCTATCTATTATGACATCTCTACTATCTATTATGATCTATCATGACCAGCTGTGTAGGAGGTGGTACATAAAACAGTTGGAAATAATTACTTATATCTTTTTTGTCCAAAATATTTTAGATATTTATAGTACAACACTTAAATGACCTAAGTGAATCCTGGTGTGAAACATTTTTCAGTTACATTAGTTTTAATTACTTACAGCACATTTAAATTTCATAGTATGCAATTGAGTTGTTCCTCATTCTAGTTATTTCTCTTCTGCTGTAAACCTGATGGGTTTCTATATATGTGTGTAAATGTTACTTTTCTTGCTATTCCAAGTGCAATTCCATTTTCATTTGTGTTGAAGGCAAATACATTGAGTTAAAATTATTTTCTCTCTCCTGAGATTTTATTTGCCCATTAAAGTTCAACCAGCACTGCAGCATTTTTTTTTAAACAATACTGTGACATTTCTCGATGAGATCAGTCTAAAGAAAGAGGATTTAAAAAAAATGTAAGCATTAAAAAGAGTGATAAAAGTTGGATTTGCTACTATGTTTTGTTATTCATCTGTGTTTTTGTAATCTTTAAAATATGATAATGATGACTGCAGTTTACTAGAAAATTCAAGTAAGGACTATAGTTACCTCTATAATATTTATATTTGTCTTATACCGTCCCCCCAACATTTATCTGTAAGACACTTTCAAAATTAAGAGAAAGTAGATGATTTCTCTGGGGTCAGGATAGGAGCATGAACTAGGTGAAATGATTCTGATTGTATTTTTGTATCTTACATTAAAATCTTCCTTAGTGACTGCTTTGCTGACAAGGACAACACACTTTTGCAAGAGTCTCTCTCTCTTTTCTTTCTCTTGGCCTGCTTCCCTGGACTTAATCCCAGCTATACTTTGCAAACTTTGGTCAAAGGCAAGTTCCTGGTCTGTGCTGTGTTTCCTTTCTTTCATTGGGAATTTTGGGATCAGGTTCCCTTTTTCTTGTGTTTATAACAGGACTCATTTGCTTGCAGATATTTAGGTCCAGTCATAGTGCTAGATACCTCCTTTCTTAAAAAGAAAACTTAGGACCCAGTTCGGCGGCGGCGGTGGGTTCTGAACACCTAACACCCAGAGGCAGCCTGTCATCCAAACCAGGTAGGCCAGGAACTGTTTCCAGTTCTGGTTCGTCATCACTGCTCACGGCCTCCATCCACAGGACCAGGTAGGCCAGGAACTGTTTCCAGTTCTGGTTCGTCATCACTGCTCAGAAATATATGAGGCAAGCGAACTGCATGCCAGACCCAGTTCTGTGGTGGCTGAACACACAGAGGCAGCCCGGCCTCAATCCACTAGCCCAGGTAGGCCAGGGGCTGTTTCCTGCTCCTGCTTGTCTTCACTGCTCAGAGTCATCTGACACAAGTGACCATACGGAGTTCAGCAGT